TGATGTAACTTGTTCTCGCAAAAAGCCTTTTATTTCCGAGAAAAGTAAGAATATCAGTTTTCGTGATGGTCGGAGTCTCAAAATGGCCGTATTTTCAACCCAAAATTTGCTAACATCAACTCTCCCCGCGTTCGCAAATAAAGCCGCAAGGAGAAATTTGGACACTTTCCATCAACAGAACAACTCTTCTTCTTTCACTAGAAGATACTTTCAAAGCAATATCGAGTCTCGTTGAACTAACACAATTCAAAAACGAAGAATAGGTTTTTACGGTGACAAAAACTTTAATTTAGTAGTTGTTGTCTGTGGTATAGCTCCAAATTTTCCCGGTCCTCGTTCAATTCACACATTTAGACATTCATCTAAAGCATACCTGAGAATTGGCTTGGGTTCCTTTAGGCAGCCTCCAAACTATTAAGCATCGAAGTCCGTAAAAATAGTGAAGCGTGACCAAAATAACTTATTTAACGGCTCCAAGTCCTGTTTCGTCATCCTTAGCGAATTACCATTGTCAAAGCCCTTATTTTTCGATAAAACGTGAGAACTAGAAAAAGCGCGTTTGATTTTTTCTTCTTCAAATAATGTCGCGATCGAATATGTTACTCTTTCAAGAATTGCGTTGCGTTATTACCGTCATTCCGTGACTGTCATTTTGACGGCTCCGCCTCTTCAAAAGTACGTTTGTCACGTCGGTCACGAAATAGATTGTCACGCAGGGTCGCCGGCTGATAGAGTTTAGTGTCCTAAAATGGCTAAAATTCACCCAGTTTCACCTTTTTACCCCACTCTTTGATTGAAAAAAGGAATTTGCATTGGGAAAACCTACAAGAAGTACAAAAAACGAGCCCTTAGGCTGTAAATATCTACTTTTGTGCGTTTCGAAATTGGAAATGTTTACACAATAGAACTTGTCACGGTTTTCGACGCCATCTTGACGAGTAGGCAAACGCGTGAGAAATTACAGTGTTTGTGTGAGAATATAATGTCGAATAGCGTCCGTAGGACGGCTGTTCTGAAAAAAATATGAATTGTAAGCTAAAGCTTCACTCCTAAGGATTCTACTGCAAACAATTGAAGGCGTTAGATGAGCTAGAAGACCTAGAACCAGTTTTTAAAATCTTCTATATATTTGTCTGTAAGAAAGTCCCGGGGAAAATTACGGACAAATATATGGAAAATCTAAAGCAAGCCTCTGGAGAACTTTATGCACAGGCTGTTCTGAAAATTTTCTTGCACAATCCTTTATTTTGTAGCTTTAGTTTACATTAATGCATCAGTCAATTCCAGCTGCGCCAAGCCCATTCCCCCCCACCCGGGCTACTGCGGGGCATTTGCCCGCCCTGACGGTCCCGGGGGTGGGACATTTGCAAATTTTGTGCTGCCCGGGGGCCGGATATTTGCCAACCCCTGGGCCATTCTTGGGCTTTTGACACGCACGCGGTTTCCTATCAGCAAATGACTACACAGAGGATTTTACTGGGAAAGAAAGCAGATTGGCTCATCTGTCAAGGACGGGAAAAAATTAAGAGGTTTTTAAAGGCATGTTCTTGATTTTATGCATGCGTTTCTTCATTGCTTATGAAGCGAGAATTACAGACAGCGAAATCGGGAGCTATCGACGTGAATCAATGTTTTTTGGTTATTGAATCAAATTTCTGTTGATATTATTTGAAAAACATCCTTTCATATTCGTACAACTACTCATAACATATAACTTTACAGCGCTCTATTAATTTTAATGTCAATAATTTTACATCAATACTAAAATATAAACTGGTGCATGTCGTCGCGGCGTGAAGTCTTAATTATAATCCTAGCGAAAGGAAGACGTTAATTGAAACAAAAAATCGCACATTAAAATTCTTAAAACGGCACTATTCGACTGTGCGATCAATGCGATCGTCCCCGCCCCTGAGGATTTGACAGTTCAAGAGTCCCCAACCCCGGGAATTTGCCATCCAAGGCAAAAAAATGCTAATGTCCGGGGGTCAGCCCGGAGGTGTAGGGGGCTGGGTGCAGCTGAAATTGACTGATGCCATTTTACGGAAATTATTCGGCATTAGATTCTCATACAAACACTGTAATTTCTCACACGTTTGCCTACTCGTCAAGATGGCGTCGAAAACCGTGACAAGGTCCATGACCGTCGGCCTACCATGAAAATTCCTGAACTTCGATGGTCTCTTACAGAGATTACATTCAATAACCCAAGCCAATTCCTAGGTATGTTTTAAATGAATGCCTAAATGTGTGATTTAAATAGTATGACGAGAATTTGGAGTTATAGCGGAGCTCTCGCGCGCTTCGCGCGCGCGCAGCGGAGCACCATGGGTAAGAAAACTTGGTAAACTATCCATCCGAGAAAACTTGGTTATGACGTAGCGTACGAACGCCGACCGTCCGTACACCCACTACATGTAAGCCGATGTCAAGTGTCCCATTAGATCTTGCTCAATTATTGACACTAGCCCGTCAGTTACGTAAGCCATCTGTATGAGGATGAATTGACAGCTGTCAAAATCAGACATCCGCTGACAATTATCACATGACCATCACGCGGGCTCAGATGAAAAACTAGTCGTTTTGCCCCTATATATAAGCTGATATAATATAACACACTTCCCAAAATATTAATGAAACTACACTTTCCTAGGGCTGGGCTGTCTATAGTTTAAAGCTATATGCGCAAGCCAAATTAAGGTTAACTGACAGCTGTCAAAATGGGACCTGTGCAGACCACTATCAAAAACTAATAACTTGGGCTCAGATCTGGCATTTCGCCACTACAAGCCGGACTGAGATGTCTTACTCACACTCACAGTCGACAGTCCGTTTTGTTCAAATATTCGCCATTCTAATGAAGGTCAATTGAAAGCTGTCAAACTAGAGCATCCGCTGGCCGTCATCACCTGACTGTATCACGGGCTCATTTCTCTACCCATTGAGGTCACGTTTTTTTTTTTGTTTTCCAGCAATATTTTATTTGATCACGGGCTCTATCCATCCCAGAAAATTTTACAATCACGTGACCGTACACCGACCGCCTGGCCGTCCGTACCACAGGCATACCAATGTTTAATCTCACACTTTCTAGCTACAATAGTTTGGGAGCCTGTAGCCTGTTATTGTACATCCATGTGACCATCCATGTTGTGATCAGTTGACAGCTGTCAAAACAGTGTATCCACTGACCATTATCGCCTGACCGTATCGCGCGCTCAGGTATAGACCCACTGAGTTCGAGTACTTTTTTGAAATTATCCGCTGACAAGTTACTAATTTTCAAATGATCGCAGGCTCAAGTTCAATTTTTGTTAAATGCATGTGAAATAAGTTTTGTACATGAGCTGCACCATTAAAATTTGGATATTGTCCTGGATCGATCGTCCTGGACTGATTGAATGACTGCAATTTGTCTTGCAAAATTGTGAAAAACTGCAGAATTATAATTTTAAATAGGGCAAAAAAAAATCTGTCCGAGGTCTGTATGATAAAGAAATGCGCCTCACAGTACTGTCTACCTCAGACGTGATGTATAAAAAGTGTATTTAAAAGGGTGGCTTACACGCCACCAGATTTGTCACCAAGATTTACTTGTATTAAAAAGTAAACTTTTCGAACACAAAAAATCCGGCCTGATTTCTTATTTTGGCCTCCCTTTTAGACAGAGGAATGCAACGTGTAAATTTTTGGCTGCCACTGAGGACTATCGTGTGTCGCATAAAACTGTATTTCGGGGCCGTCCAATTATCCATAGTCTCTCCAACGGAGTGGTTTGCGAGACTATGAATTAACCTTATAAAATGAAGGTGGTGTAGGTGGGCGACTGGGTTATTTTGTTTGGGAAGAATTTGTTTTCAAGGGCTAATCTACTGTGATTGAAGATGATTGCTATTTTTGGGTGTACTTGTGAGACTATTAACTTGATTTAAAACTGGTTTGTTTGACTCCTGGACTGTCAAATTATTTTTCTCTAAAATCAGTTAGCCTTTCGCTTAAAAGTCACATGAATGTGCCTTAAAGTTAACTGATTTGTGGATTACAAGTTTATTGCTTGATTTAAATTATAAATTTTTTAACGGGAGCTTCGCTTTTAGCCCTGGCTAAATCTATATATCACCATATGATAAATATTGCCTTCGAAAATGAGTAACGAACTTAAGTTCTTGTTATCCTGAAAAGCTATCCCTCATTTTTGAATTTTTCAGTACCACGAGCTTCGCTGTTGCCCTGAAAGTATCTTTTAGTGGAAGAAAAAGAATTTTTCTGTTCATGGAAAGTGTCCAAATTTCTCCACGCGGCTTCGTTTGCGAACGCAAGGAAAGTTAATGTTAGCGAATTTCAGGTTAAAAATTAGGACAGTCTGGCACTCTGACATCGAAAACCGATCGTCCAATTTTTATCACAAATAAAAAGCCTTTGGCAGGAACAATCTACTTTAGGTTTCTTATCTAGCTAAAAGCTATCCATAAACAAAAAATGAAAGAAACTGATTTTTCAACTCTTGCCACGAAATTAAGATTTTGGTCGATTTTTCCTGACAGTCGCTCTTAACCCAGCACACCGAAAAATTTACAATGAGTTGCAAGAAAATGAACGTCATGGTCAAAACACTCTCGTTCCTGAGATTTCTCCATTTCTGAAAACGAAGTACGTAAAGCTGCAAATAAATTAAACAATAGTAAATCACCATTTTCGGATAAAATTAGAAATGAAATGACAAACGCTAGTCTCGATACTTTGATGCCTGTATGTGACATATTATTTAATTCAATTCTTCTCCTAGGTACCATGCCTCAGACTTGGTATGGTGGTCTTATTGCCCCAATCTATAAATCGGGAGGGGCGTAATGACCCGGCAGATTACCGAGGTATCTGTGTCTCCAGCTGCCTGAGAAAATTGTTTAACCAACGACTCCTCGAACATGACATGTCTTTAAATACACTTCACCTTCACAGAACACGGCGTTGGATTTTTTTTTTTACAGGTGAACACTGTCATGGGCTGCCGTCCAGTCTCAAGCAGGCTTATCACCATCCGCCTAAGGGCAAGTCCATTTAACATCACAATTATACAGGCCTACGCCCCTACCTCTGACTATGATGATGATACAGTTGAGAACTTCTATGACCACCTGCAGGAGGTCTAAGGCTCCTGGAGTTTGCTCGCTACAACAATATTGTGCTGGCGAATACACTTGGCAAACACAAAGTATCCAAAAGATGGACATGGTACAGCCCAAATGGAGGATACCATAACCAGACTGATTATATCATGGTTAGGAGGCGTTTCATGTGGAGTGTAAAAACCGCAAAGACAAGAAGTTCCAAGGAGCTGACATAGGAAGCGACCATGATTTAGTGATGATGTCTTTTCGGCTGCGTTTAAAGAAGATAAAAATGCAGGGCCCCACAAGGATTAAGTTTGATCTTGAGAAGCTCAAAGACCCTCAAGTTGCAGATGCCTTCCAAGCAATGATTGGTGGTAAATTTGCACCACTTATCTTGCTCGATGCAGATGACACAGAAGTGGGCACACTAGTGAACTCCTTCAATAAAGCATTGACTGAATCAGCTGGTGAAATCGTAGGTAAACGCAGAGCAGTCAAAAGACCGTGGGTCACAACTAGCGTACTGGATCTATGCGACGAACGAAGAGCACTGAAGAAGGAGAGACACGAGACAGCAGAAGGGGCAAGAAAGTACAGGGCAATTAACCAGGAAATTAAGAAGAGCATAAAAAAGGCAAAAGAGTCTTGGATTGATGCACAGTGTCAAGATATTGAAGATCACATCAGGAAGAACGATACCAAGAAGGCATATCAGCTAGTTAAAACTCTAACTAGCACAAAACAAGGAAAAACCATCACCATACAGGACAAAGACGGGAATTGCCCCACTGAAACCAACGACATGCTAAACGGGTGGACAGAATACTGTGCGAGACTGTAATGCCACACAGTCGTAGGTGACCCTGAGGTGTTGACTGTCCCACAAGTTACCGACACTGACAAATACCCAATCTTGCGGGAGGAGGTCGAAGCAGCTGTGAAATCGCTCAAGAAGGGAAAATCTCCAGGGATAGACAATATCCCAGGGGAGCTGGTACAGGCGGGAGGACATGCCGTGATAAGTGCCTTGCATAAAATTTGCAATAAGATTTGGCAGAAAGGAGAGTGGCCCATACCATGGACCCAGTCTCTTATCATCACCCTTCCCAAGAAAGCCAAACAGTCGGAGTCAGACAAGGGTGTCTACTCTCACCAACTCTTTTCAGCATCTTTCTGGAGAGGATTATGACTGACGCTTTAGAAGATCAACAAGGAACAGTTAGCATTGGAGGGAGAACAATTACCAACTTATGTTTTGCTGATGACATTGACGGCCTGGCAGGAAAGGAGGAGGAGCTACCCTCCCTGGTGGATCGCCTGAATAAGACCACTGCAGCCTTTGGCATGGACATCAGTGCGAAGAGAAGACCAAACTGATGACCAATAACGCGAATGTTATCAGCATTGACATCAGAATCAACGGTGAAAAATTGGACGAGGTTGATAGCTTCAAGTATCTGGGCGCAGTCGTCACAGATCAGGGTTCCAGGCCCGAAGTACTGTCCAGAATTGCACAGACAACAGCAGTTCTAGCGAGGTTGAAGACCATCTGGAGTGATAAGCGCATCTCTCTAAGCTCAAAGATCAGACTAATGCGCTCCCTAGTTATCCCTGTACTATTGTATGCCTGCGAAACCTGGACATTGGCAGCGGACATCCTGAAGAAATTGCAAGCCACTGAGATGAGATGCTTTCGGAAACTGCTGAGATCACATCACTAACGATGCAATCAGAGACAGAATCAGGCAAGCCATTGGGCCCTATAATGATATCTTAACCACGGTAAAGAAACGCAAGTTAGAGTGGTTTGGGCATGTATCAAGATCATTAGGGCTTGCCAAGACGATTTTACATAGAACAGTGCAATGAGGGAGAAGAAGGGGCCGACAAAAGAAGCGTTGGGAAAACAACATTGCTGAGTGGACAGGGTTGAAGTTTTGCCATGCCGTAAGGGAAGCTGAAAACAAAATAAAATGGAGGGAGAGGTTGCAACTTGAGGTGTAGGTGCAGGTGCACCTTCACAAATCTCAAATTGGCTTTTGCCAAATAACCGCACAGCAGAACATGTATTTGCACCCCGAACCTTGATAGCTAAGTACGTTCATAATCACAAGGAAAAGATGTATGCTAACTTTGTGGGTTTCAAAAAAGGCTTTTGACTCGATCTGGCATGTCGGGCTCCCGCATAAGTTACTGCAAATTACTGTTAGTGGGTGTTTTCACAACTTGATTAAAAGCCTTAATTTATTATTCATTCAAAATATTTCCCTGATTCTGATTGGCTAAAAGCACACGCATAGTTCACCATAACCAGCTACTGATGATTCAAATTTGGAAGAATTTTGCGATTAATCAACCGATGCCGTTAAAAGTGCAGCATTCTTGCAGGTTAATGCACCGTTAACCAAGAAGACCTGGGGACGAGGTTGAGTTGTTTTAGTTGTGAAAAAAAACTGTCCGACATTTCATTCGTTTCAAGAGTAAGAACTAGGCGAAATAATAGCTAAAAACATGGCAAGAACAACAAGAAGACAACTCGAAAGGCGACATCTGCTATTTGGAGAACGTTAGTGGAGCTGAACAACCTTAAACGTGCGCTATCGAAGATGAACTTAATATCGATGGAAGTAAGCTTGTTTTAGCTATGTTTTTAAACTAGGAATTATTTTGAATGAATAATATAATAAAACAATTATCACATTCGGTTTTTGTATCATATGACGAATTATCGAGATCTCGGAGGGTGCTATCCGCCGAATTCATTAATTGTTAAATATTTCAACTCTACAAGCGCAATCAAAATTTCCCAAAAGCAAACACGACCCTTCCGTTATGCAAGAGGTGTGCGGCAAGGCTGTATATTAAGTCCACTGCCTTTTAATCTTTATATAAACGACCTGCCTTCCGCATTTGAAAATACGTTATCTGATCCTTTTGCTTTGCCAAACGGTGCAAAATTAAATTTTCTTAAACAAGATTACAAAATTGCCTTCATTGATAAGCTGTCTTCCCACTGTTCTTCGTGGATGATGTAAAATCAACCTCAAGAAAACTAAGATCATGGTTCTTCAGAAACGTGCTAGGAAGTGAACTTCGCTTTCCCATAGATGGTCAAATTATTGATGTTGTACATGAATACACTTATTTAGGAACTCGAATCTCCTCTTCAGGAAATTTCTGTGTCACCGCGCACGTGAAAATATCAAAGAAAAAGCCCTTTATGCCCTATTTAGCACGAGACGACATACGAATCTCAGCAAACTAAGAACATCTCTTGCTTGTAAAATATTTGATACAATAATCTCCCCTATTCTGACATATAATAGTGAAATTTGGGGCATGTATACCAAACCAGATTTTAAGACCTGGGACAGCTCACAAATCGAAAAGACACACCTCCAATTTTGCAAACGTTTTTGCAGAGGTAAGCAACAAGGCTTCTAATTTGCTTGCAAAACTGAACTTGGTCGCTTACCTATAAATATCAATATCAATCAAAAAATCCTTAAGTTCATTGTATATATTAAGTCATCTTTCGTCGAGCAATCTTTTTTAAAGCCATTTGATTTATACTGAAATGGTAAGAGTAGCTTTCGCTCTCCTTTGATGGAGATGTCAGAGTATTTCAACTTACCTGACTTCAACACTGATTTGTTCGATACCTTTATAGTAAAAAACTTCGCACGTTTAAAATAAGAATGTATACCATATTGGCAAAACACCCTTCACCACTCGCAAAACTAGAATTTTTCAGATCTTTTAAAGGCGATCATACCACTTTTAATTACTTAGCCGTAACGAGAAGAACGGCTGAGAGAAAGAAATTAGTAAAACTGCGAACAAGTAACCACAAACTAATGATAGAACTTGGTAGATACAATCAAACTACCAGAGATAATAGGAATTGCCCTTTTTGTTGATCCAGTCAAATAGAAGACAAAATTCTCTTTCCTTTTAATTGTTCTAAATACTCATGGGCTTTGATTAGAAATAATTTTTACAATAAAGTTAAGATTCTGATTCCAAATATTACCAAGTTACCTGTGAATGTTTTGATCAATAAACTGATGAACACATCTAATTACCATATTAATTTACAATTCAGAAATATATTTTATCTTGCTTTGACTTTCGCGAGGAATTATTAACAAAGTAGTTTAATTGGTCAGTGATTAAATTTTAGTTCTTATTCTTAAAAATGATTATAAATAGCTTTTTGCAATACTGTATGTACTTGTATGGTCCTGCAAATAAAGCTTGTTGTTGTTGTATCAGATATTTCCATCGCTTTCGTTTTGGGCTTAAGAGTGTGCCATTAAATAATCGATAAATCCTTTCAAATATGAATGACGCACAGCCAATTTTAAATTCAAAGAAACAGTGGTAAGCAAACTGATGAATTGCGGAAACAATTTGCTAGAAAATTTTTGCTAACAAGATCGATCCTAGACATAAGTGAACTGATGGAGGCTCAATATGGAAAACGGTTAGTATGATGTTATTTTGGTCTCCTGGCGGAACTGATGAAGAAGTTACCTTTATTATCATGGATATGAAGTATTTAATCCTAATTTGTAGTTTTTATTAATAGTTTGTAATAATTTTTATCGTCTTTTTAGGATATTTTTTTTGCTAAAACATGCTTGCCTCCATCGATCCATCGATGTTAAGTTCGTCTTCGATAGTGTACGTTTAGGTTTGTGCAGCTCCGCAAATATTCTCCAAATACCAGATGTCGCCCTTCGAGTTGTCTTCTTGCTGTTCTTGCCATGTTTTTAGCTATTTTTTCGCCTAGTTCTTACTCTTGAAACGAGTGAAATGTCCGCCATATTTCAAGTTCACAAGCAAAACAGCTCAACCTCGTCCCCAGGTCTTCTCGGTTAACGGTGCCTTAACCTGCGAAAACGCTGCATTTTTGACGTCATTTCCTCGTTAAACACAGAACTCTTTCGCATTTGGTCATTAGTAACTGGTTATGGTGAATTAAAAGTGTGCTTTTAGCCAATCAGAATCGGGAAAATATTTTGAATGGATAATAAGTATTTTTAACAAATTTTTATATTTTTTTTTATATAGGGCCTTTGAGGATATCAGTTTTTGTAACCGTAGAAGTTACCCTAGCTAAATAAAAGTATCTTCTTCTTCTTCTTCTCTCGCATTTCTGACTAAACAATGCATGCCCAACCTTGCCTTGCACATCACCAATGAGTGACCGAAATAGATGGTAGCCAAATACGGAGTACTAGGGCACTCTATACTAATTTCCTTGTCACTTTTTTTTGCTGACTTGTATCTATTTGGCATCTTATTGTGTTACATCCTGTTTCACGGGTTGAGGAAGAGTACAGTCGCTCTATACCTTTAGTCTCAAAATTCAGGAACGTGTGAACTTAAGCCAAAATTTTCATGTTTTCCGCAGTGCGTGGAGTTCTCGATACGATAAACAAGCTAAAAAAAATTAAAAACGCGACTGTGAGCCCATTTGTCATCCGTGTTATCAATAGGTACTTAAATGGTAAACTAATAAAATTAGGGGGAAACTTCACTTGTGTTTTCTCCAAATTCTGATAATTTCCCTCGCCTAATTAGCGAATTAGACACCGAAAATATTGATATTATCGAAGTCCGGCTTTGGGTGAGTTCTGTTTGCTGGTATACCAAATAATTACAAATCTACTTTGGAATGAATTTGGCCACCGAATGGCCGTTTATTTGATCAAAGCATGTGTAAAGCTATGAAAATCCAGATCGACAAGAAGATTATCCCAGCAAAGGTGAGGGTACACCTGCCATCCGGAAGAGTAAAATGGAAAAAAACGGAAGGATGAGGAGGGAAAAATG